CCTGCTGAACACAACAAACACCTTGACTGAAGTTAACAATGAATTCAGAAATGTTGATGATAAAATTATCGCCGAGCTTCAGCAACACAATAACAGATTAGATTTGAACAAACGTCTGATTGCTGAACAATCTGCTCGCCTGCTGAACACAACAAACACCTTGACTGAAGTTAACAATGAATTCAGAAATGTTGATGACAGTTTATCTGATAAACTGATAAATCTTGAAGTCCAGATTGCGGAGAACAACAAAGTTGTATCAGCAGTACAGGATAATTATGAAAGCCTTGTAATTCGATCAGAATTGGTGAACCAACAGGTTGTAAAAATGGTAAACCAACAGAATGGTGTCAATGATAATACAGCTGCTTCTGTCGAAAAGCTGAAAAAATCTTTAATCACGTTAGTTTCTCAGAGAGCGGATAAAGTGGTGGATGATTTAAGAGTTGAGTTTAATGCCCAATATGAGAAGGCGAAAATTGAGCAGCAGAGCATAACAACAATGGCCGTTGAAAGTTTACGAAAGGAAATCAAGAGTTTAGTATATTCGGAATTGGGATATGAGAATATACCAGGTGCTGGTCTCTTTCATATTCCAAATGATGCCAAACCGTGGAGTGATGCAAAAAGATATTGTGAAAGCAAACTCGGGTTTCTCGTAGAATTAGTTAATAGAGAATTAGAGGTAAAAGTGAAGAACTATGTGAATACTAAATACGGAATTTCAACCTTCTGGCTCGGGGCAAGGGATCATCACACTGAAGGTGTGTTTAGATGGGAGAGTAGTAACCAGCTATTAGCGTATACAAACTGGGGGAGAGGGGAACCTAATAATCATGCTAATAGAGAGGATTGTACTGAATTTAGTTCAGGTATTTGGAATGATTTGGACTGCAATGAGTCAAGACGGTTTATCTGCCAATCTCCATGAGATTATGTTTATGTACACTCCACTGTCTTATGTACATTGAATACAAGTTTGTATAACGTACGTACTATAAGTACATGAATAAATGGTCTTTTTAAAATTATTACTCATTTTTAATCAAGTCTATTTTATGTTTGCTTTGAGTTTGTTTAAAAATGTAAGATGATTCTGCATGTTTCCCTTCAGGAAGTAGCCAACAGCAGCTTTGTTATCGGTACAACGTCGGAATATGTTTGCAAATATATGCAGCAAATGGCACACAGCAAAAAAACACAACTAACCAGTTTTCTTCTTTTGTGCTCCACCATATTTCTTAAAATCCCAATTTTACATTAGAACTTTATGACATATAAAGTCATTAATATTGTATATTATAATGTGCTCTGCCACATTTCTTGCAATCTAATTCTACCATTAGAAAATTATCACATATAAAGTTTCTAATATAATATATTAAAATGTGCTCTGCCACATTTCTTGGATTCTAGTTTTAACATTGTAACTTTATCACATATAAAGTTACTAATATTATATATTAAAATGTGCTCTGCCACATTTCTTGGAATCTAGTTTTAACATTGTAACTTTATCACATATAAAGTTACTAATATTATATATTAAAATGTGCTCTGTGACATTTCTTGGAATCTAGTTTTAACATTAGAACTTTATCACATATAAAAATATTATATATTAAAATGTGCTTTTTATATAGTTTTAACTTTAGAACTCAGTCACATATACAGCTAATAACACTATATATTAAAATGCGCTCCACCTCAAAAATTGAAAATTTTCAAAAACTATATCTTTTAGTTTCTTATACTATAAAATATAGACTATGTTGTTAAAATATATGTAAAATAACATTTATGTAAACCACAGGTTTTTTCTTAATACAAAAAAACTCCAGTGTTTACACTGCCTTTCTTAATAAAAATATCAGCATCTTAAAGTTCTTTTCTTCCTGTGATATTCAAAATCAAATGAGCCAACCAGTCAGTACTTTTGTTGCAATTATTCTTCTCAAAGTCTCTTCTAGTACAGTTGGTTCTAAAATTAAATGTAATAGTCGTAGAATATTTAATCCTACCTATGTATGTATTTAAAGTAAATATTTCCATTTACTGATAGCGCCAATTGAAGGATAATGAGATAGATAGAAAGATCAGACGCTAATGGACTCGGCATACAGGTGTGATAGAAGAACTTAATACCTAAAAAACGATTTACGCCTATATTTAGTTAGTTTTTCTTTTCTTTTATAGGATATGAATGTACCTAATAAAATCTATTTGCTCAAATTCGACTTACTTCCTCACATGTTCTCTCTTAGTGCTATATATTTCTACCTAAATATTTACCCTAGTATATAGTTCTTTTATTTTGACCGTATCGTTCTTGCATACTGCAGTTCATTTTTTAGTTTTATTTATGATCGTTTCTTTTTCCTTTCAATTTAGCATTTGCACCCACAAACTTTGTAGATAGCTAGTCCTCTAAGTTTTAATGTAGACCAACGCAGGCTATTCATATTTTTCTATTTTAAATCCAAGACAGGTTATAATTTATACAAAAGAACAGAATATAGTGAAAACATGGTTCAAGACAATTTGAATAAACATCAAAAATAAAATACTGGGCAGATCCACTATAATATCCAAAATAAAGGACAGGTTGAAATTTCATTTGTGGTTCCGTCTTTAACCATAGAACATGTGAATAATAAATCATTGGGTTCAGGTCCAGATCCGTTGTTAAACATAATGCTAAACAAGGTAAAGATAATTTACTTAAAGGGAGTGTTCGCGAAAAATGAAATATTTCAAATTAGTTTTGATTTGTTTTTAAATAGTATTTTGCTTGCCCTGGATTTTCGAACATTCTTTGGAATTATGAAAATGTCGTCTTCATTGAAAAAAATCCTCGAAACATGAATAAATGTTTTCAAAAGTAACTATCAGATCATACAAAATTTAAATTATCATGAAATATCAACGAAAAATTATCCATGATTATTGGTTGTAATATCTGAATGATTTGTTTGGAATTAGATTGATTTATTTACGATCTGAGTTGAATATTGCAACTTTCTGAATTTGTATGGACGCTACCTTCTTCAGCATGAGTCGTTTGTAACAATTTTCTCCATAAAGACGCAACAGATAGAAGTAAGGTTAGTAGCGATAAAAGCGCGTATTTTTCGTCGTAAATCTATACCCCCTTTCATTTTTCGCGAACACTCCCTTTAAGGAAAGTCCAAATCCGTTGATAAGCAAAGTAAAATGAGAATGAATAAATACAATGACCGCGGATCCTTTGATAAGCAAAATACTATTTGATTGTCCAGTTTAAAGCAGATCGAGCCTTCGGACTTGCCTTTGTAAATAGACAAATTTTGGCTCCATGTCCCCTTTTTCAATGCTGTTCTTCTACCTCTGTACAACCTCCTGTCTTTATTTCGATCTTACTTATCAAAATAAATATATTTGAATATATGAAATAGATTCTTCTACATTTTACGAATAACCACTACATAATTTAGGGCAAGGGTTAGAATATAGAATTGACTATTTTTATATATTTTATCATTCTACTCCTTAATTCTTATATATTTATTAAAGTTTATTTCGCATACAAAAAATAAATTATGACAAAGGCATAATTTAAATGAGGAACATATGTAAATATCTACATGAGTCAACAATCCAACAACCTACTCCTTAGTCTATCATTCAAAAGAGGGATCAACACCCTCTCATCTCGGTGGGTTCTCAAGGGAGCTGCCAACAGGGCCGGTCAAAACCAACTGACTGGTCCCGGATGGCCGTTAGAGGTACAGACGCACCCAGGCTTACTTTACAAGCAGAAGTAGCTTTGTCTCAAGTTGAAGGTCATAAAGGTTGACCGCACCAGCCAGGCTAGTCTGCAGGTCATATCAGTAGACCCAGAGACCGGCAGGTTGGGCCGGTCAAACCAGATTGACCAGCAAGCTTTGAAAGTAGGACACTTTCAGACAGGCTGACCAAGATGTTACAGCTTGTTGGACAGTATAGATTACTGGAGGACCTTACAGGGTTGCAGAGTATGATTACTCTTCTTAGGTAGCCAGAATTGTCACATACAGGCTTATGAGAAGGGTGGACAGTACGAGAGCTTTTACTTCATCAAGACGACAAAAAACGTTAGGGATTTAACCTGCCAATCTCTAACCTGACCCTACTCAATACTCATCTCTACCCTGAGTCCTACCTAACTTTTCTAAAGCCAATAAACCCTACGCATTAAAAAAAATTTCATATGATGTATGTTTACACATTTCAATCAAATTCCTACTTATTAGGTAAACTGTGTCAAATTGTTTTAGATCTAGGATTATTAGATCTTATTCTTTTAAATCAAAATACTATTATACTAGTAGATATACTAGATAATATTCCCTTATGATCAAAATACTTTTAGATCATATTTACTTAAGATCAAAATACTTTTAGATTTTATTCCTTTAAGATCGAAATACTTTTAGATCATATTTACTTAGGATCAAAATACTTTTAGATTACATTCCTTTAAGATTAAAATACTTTTAGATTATATTCCTTTAAGATCAAAATACTTTTCGATCATATTCCTTTAAGATAAAATACTTTTAGATCATATTCCTTTAGATAAAATACTTTTAGATCATATTCCTTTAAGATTGAAATACTTTCAGATTATATTTATTTAAGATCAAAATACTTTTAGATCATATTCCTTTAAGATCAAAATACTTTTAGATTATATTTCTTTAAGATCAAAATACTTTTAGATTATATTCCTTTAAGATAAAATAATTTTAGATAATATTCCCTTAAGATCAAAATAATTTTAAATTTAATTCCTTTAAGATCAAAATACTTTATGATTATATTCCTTTAAGATCAAAACACTTTCAGAGAATATTTCCTTTAGTTAAACATATTTTTAGACTATATACCCCGAAGATCAAAATGTTCTTTTATCAAATTCCTGAACAGCAAAAGAGAGAAAATATGTTTAAGTACCGAAACATAAAATTTAACGAGGGCTCAACGTTATTTTTGTTTATAAACCTCCATTTTGTTTATAAACCTCCATTGCTTATACATACTGCAGTTATTATTGAAACAGTAATGAATGATTAACAAATGCATGCAGCCGATCACTTAGAAGATGGACATATCTAAGATCTCCGTCATTGGGTTGCAAAGAAATAGAGATAAGAAGATCAGAGTTTGTGGCAAAGGCTCAATTCCTTTCAATAAGCCAGTTTTGAAAATAAAAAAATCAATGTTATAATTTCCACCAGGTTGTTCAAAATGTATTTCCAATATTGAAACAAGCAACTAAAACTTGTGTGGAACAACTGTTAACATTTTTTGTAGATTAGTTTTTCGCAAAAATGAAAAAGGGATTCGATCGCTACTAGTTTTACTTCCTATTACGTCGCGAACACTCCCTTTTTTTACAATACATTCATGTAAATCAACTTAGGTCTTCGAATTAAATAATGTTCTTCAGGGGGTAAATCTAAAATATTTATTTAATTTTCTAATAATTTAGACAATAAATATTATTGAATATGCTAACTCAGGCATGGTATGCTGGGGAAACAGGTTTATAAGAAGGAGCAGCAGCACCATAGGTTGGAGTACCAGAGTATGTAACATCAGCAACATATCCACTGTAAGGATCAGCAACCTTGTAGTTAACAGTCTGAAGTCTACCATCAGGAAGAGCAACAGAGTAGGATCCAGATGTAGCATATCCATCACGGTTCTCTCCAGCATTATACTTAGATCCAGAGTAATCATCAGCTACAGCATACTCATAAGCATATACAGCAGGTTCATCATAGGCAGGTTCATTGTATGCAGGGGCACCATAGGAGGGTTTAGCATGGACAACAGGGGCTTTGTATGCAGGGGCAGGGGCAACAACAACAGGGGTGTTGTAGACAGGAGCAGGAGCATAGGTGGGAGCAGGAGCATAGGCGGGAGCGGCAGCGTAGGCAGGAGCAGGAGCGTAGGCAGGAGCAGGAGCGTAGGCAGGAGCAGGAGCATAAGAAGGAGCAGATGAGTAACCAGGAACAGCAGCAGGTGCAAGGTTTGCTGCAATAGGTTTCTCTTGGTTTACATAGGAGTCAACAGCCTGCGGAGCAGCATGGGGCTGGCTTACTACAGAAGCTGTACCAGCAAAGTGGGGCTTGTGAACAGAATGGCTGACAGAGGGAGCATTTCCATGCTTGATGCTTTGATGATGGGACTGATCAGCAGTAGCAGCTGCTAGGAGAGCAAAGCAAAGGTAAGCCTAAATTAAAGAATATAAATATGTATGAATAACAAGAAATATCAGATTTATATAAAGTCAAATACAAACCTTCATATTGTTGGATGGTTGTGATCTAACTGATGAGGTTGAATTAGAGAGCAGGGTTTATATACTAATCTGTGTATAGGTCAAATATACGCTACTCTCCAGTCTACACCCTATAGTGACTAGTCCAGACGTCCAGGCTAGTTCCTTAATAAAACAAGTATAAATAGCATTAAAATTCAACTAAATGTAAAAGGGGATTTGTGGAACAAAAGCTCAAGTTACACTTTAAACATTACCATTTATTGATATAAATATAATATTTAGGAAAATGGTTTTTCGCCCTTCACTCTTGTAAGCATTCTAAATGTTTTACACGTTTTCTTTGTACACAAATAAAAATTAATATAAAAATTTTTGCAGATTTTTTCGTTTTCATACCAGGGATACCAGGGATACCAGGGATACCAGGGATACCAGGGATACCAGGGATACCAGGGATACCAGGGATACCAGGGATACCAGGGATCCCAGGGATAACAGGGATAACAGGGAAACCAGGGATACCAGGGATACCAGGGATGCCAGGGATGCCAGGGAAACCAGGGGTACCAGGAATACCAGGGATACCAGGGAAACCAGGGAAACCAGAGATACCAGGGATACCAGGGATACCAGGGAAACCAGAGATACCAGGGATACCAGGGATACCAGGGATACTAGAGATACCAGGGATACCAGAGATACCATGGATACCAGGGATGCCAGGGATATCATGGATACCATGGATACCAGGGATACCAGGGATACCAGGGATACCAGGGATACCAGGGATACCAGGGATACTAGGGATACCAGGGATACCAGGGATACCAGGGATATGCAGAGATACAAGAGAAACCAGGTATACCAGGGATACTAGGGATACAAGGGATGCCAGAAATACCAGGGATACCAAGGATACCATGGATACAAGGGATACCAGCGATACCGGGTTTTTTTGCAGATTTTTTGGTTTTCATACCAGGGATACCAGGGATACTAGGGATACTAGGAATACCAGGGATACCAGGGATACTAGGGACACCAGGGATACCAGGGATACAATGGATACCAGTGATTCCAGGGATACCAGGGATACCTGAGATACCAGGGATACAAGGTATAACAGGGATACCAGGGATACCAGGGATATGCAAAGATACAAGGTATACCAGGGATACAAGGGATATCAGGGATACCAGGGATACCAGGTTTTTTTGCAGATTTTTTCGTTTTCATACCATGGATACCAGAGATACCAGGGATACCAGGGATAACAGGGATACCAGGGATATCATGGATACCAGGGATACCAATACCAGGGATACCAGGGATACCAGGGATACCAGGGATACCAGGGATACCAGGGATACCAGAGATACAAGGTATACCAGGGATACAAGGGATATCAGGGATACCATGGGATACCAAGTTCTGTTCCCTGGCAGAAACTGTAATAAATTGTTAAAATTATGAATACCTATTTGACGAGTATTGTTGATGATTTGATATGATTTCAAGTAAGCATATTTTCGAAATAAAATGTAAATGCAATGTTAATGCTTCTTTTATGAGACTACATATATCTATATACATATATCCATCAAAGTTTCATACTCGTGTCTACCTAACATGGAGAAAATTATTTCAAGTCTATGTTTATTTGTATATATAGTATGTTTATTTTATATAATTAATAAAATTTGACACCACAATTAATTCATCAGTAAACCCAAGAGGGTTGGTTTTTACTAAACTCAAGGCCATCCAAAACCCGGGTCTTGACTTGAGCTTTACTTGGGTCTAAGCAGACTCAAAGACCGGGTTTTAGTCGGGTTTAAGCTTTTAAAATCTCATCTCAGGTAGATATTTTAATAACAAATTCACCCAATTGAAATTTCAGAGCATACTCTTTTTAATTTGTGCATAGTGCATAAAGATTTTTTCTTTAGCTACGCAGGAATTCCTGTTCACTTCTTATAAGAAGTTTTCTTCTGCTAAGCAGGTATCTGTTGAATTTTAAATCTTCAGCTAATATTTTTCTTCAGATAAGTATGGTCAATTAACTAAAATATTCAGCTAAGAGGGTCAATTTTAGAACAAAGTAATACATTTTAAAATTTGGTTAATTCTTTGAATCAATGCTAATATATAATATATACAGTTGTTTTCGACATGTTATAAAAAGCACAGAAATAGTAAATGCCCTACTCCATAAGGGTTTCTCAAACCCGTATCTATCCAAGTACAACTCAATTTCACTTTATTATCAATGACAAAACCCCGACACGTTATCGTGAACTATCAATGCCAAACTTATGGGCACGATCTCATCAGCTTTCAATGTCAAAACGGACACTAGCTTGTAAACTATCAATGCCAAACCAATGGGCACAATCTCGTCAGCTATCAAAATCAACACGGACACTAACTTTTAAATTATCAATGCCAAGCCAATGGGCACAACTCATCAGCTATTGATGTCAACACAGACTCCAGCTTGTAAACTATCAATGCTAAACCAATGGGCACGATCTCGTCAGCTATCGATGTCAACATGGATACTAGCTTGTAAACTATCAATGCCAAACCAATGGACATGATCTCATCAGCTATCAATGTCAACACGGACACAAGCTTGTAAACTATCAATGCCAAGCCAATGGAAACGATCTTGTCAACTATCTATGTCAACACGGACACTAGCTTCCAAACTAATGGGCACAATCTCGTCAGCTATCAATGTCAACCAGACACTAGCTTGTAAACTATCAATGCCAAATTAATGGGCACAATCTCCTCAATTCGTTTGTTCAATAGAGGAACGATTACTCTCTCACCGTTTTTAAAGCAAAGTCTTACCAACTAATGTGTATTTAGATATCTATGATACAGATTAAGTTTAATATACATACTTACAAGATTAGCACGGATATATATAAGTGTAGTTAAGCCAGTCACTGACATGGTTATACGTTAATCACAATACAGGTTTTGACATATTTACAGATGTAGCTAGGATAGGTTAATCGCATTACAAGTTTTGCGTAATTAATGATAAGTCCATTTGGATTTACAGACAATGTACAAGGAAATATATCTAAGTATGTTCAGGCTAACAAATATGATGATTGCTGTATTTATTAAATTCCAACATGAGTTTCTTAGTAATTCTTAATATATGATTCACTTAAGGGTCTGTTTATCAATTTTATTATATAACACAGTAATTCAGTGCACTGATCTTGTCAGAGCTGCCGAATTTAAAGAATTTAAACCACGTTGCACTGAACCGCCAAAACCCGGTTCCAATTGAGAGCCGGTACAAATCTCGAAATACTGAATATAATTTCAAGTAGAAGCAACCATAATATATAACAACCGGACATAATCAACTCAAAAGTTACAAGAAATAGCATGCACATTCCCTTACAAAAATAATATTCATTCTTTTCTCAACATTCCTACACTGGCTTCTCTTTAAATAGTAGGAGTGGGTTCAAAGGAAAAGATTCCATATAAGGTAAAGCAGTAACTATATATCTATATAGGGTTGGCCTGTCTCGGTGTCTGTTTGTTTGCATAAAATAAAGGTCAACACGAATAAACCAATCGGACCCATTTTTTGTGGCAACTCACATGTTAAAGGGCCAAGGTAGGATTTATGATTGGTCGAAATCGACAAAAGAATTGAGTCTTTGCAACAAACTCTGATTTTCTAATATCTTTATTTTTTCCATCTGATGGTGTAAACCTTTGATATTTCAAACTTAGATTTTTTCATCTAACAGAGTTCATAGTTTGAAATATCTAAGGTCTACGGTATTGGATTACAAAGATATAGAGATAAGAAAATCATACTTTGCGTCAAAGATTCAATTCCATTTGCCCGGAAAAAATGACGACATTTATTATTTTGTAAAATACAATTATCTAAACAGGCAATTTTTGCTTAATGAAGATCATGTGTAGAGCTTTTAAGATAAATTGTGAAGAAAAGCAATAATTATAATAATCAATAATTAATAAATAATAATTAACAAACAAATTATTTGTTGAAACGACCAAAAGTCTATTAATATATACGTACTTTGTTTGTTTGTATGTATCCAATAAACGTAAAAACGGCTGAACCGATTGGGTCAAATATTTGGGGGACACAGCAACTTGAAATTACAATCTGTCATTTAAAGCAAATTCAGGGACTCTCTGGAATACCAATCTAACACTTATCATCGAAAATAAGAAATTATGATCGTTTTCTGTGCTACAGCATGATAATATGAAGAAAAAGTATTAGCATAACATTAGCAACTTTAAAAATCAAATCTATAAAATTATAGGGGGGCGCCAAGCGCTCTTAAGGCCATAAATCATTTTTGAGATACACTAAAACTGTTGTAAAACACAGAATATGTAAATAAAGGAAAAAATTGGCCTATTACGGCTGTAGACTGTAGACTGTACTCATAGTGGAGAGCGGAGACATGTAAGAAAGTAAATAGATTCATCAGTTGAGTTCTGACTCTCAAACTGTAAACACTGCTGGGCCGGACTGTCATATTTGTTTACTACGACTTTATGTTTCTTGGTAATTATGTATTGACATGCGAAAAATGTTTTTAAACATGAATAATAAAAGAAGGAAATTTTAGAATCATTCTAAAAACGTTAACTCATAGATTTTCATTGAGACCCTGACAAACTCTTCATTGGTTTTGATAAGAGACACCACTTATTTATTAAACCCTTATAACCATAGAGTAGATATTGATAGAGGTTTAGTGTACTAAGTACAACAGCTGGGCAAAACTGTACAATTTTAAAACAATTGGGATCGTAAGTGCAGTACGAATTATTAAAAACAAGTTATTTTCCAGTTCAAGTTATTTATAACTAATATATGATTGAAACACTGAACATTTTAATGGAGGCCTTCATTAAAACCTTAATGTCTCAAACAAAGAAATGGACTTCCAAAGATTTTTTTATTATCTTTAATTCTTGGTTTTCTTTTCATTTCTCTTTTAACTTTTATATATTTCAAAAGGAAATCAGTTTTTGTCACAAACTCTGATGTTCTAATCCTTATATTGTTGCAACCCAATGTCGTTGATAAGTTTAGCTACGTATATTTGAATAATACTAATATGATAAAATGATAAAACAATCAGTTATTTTAATATCAACAGCCAACAAATTGTTGAAGATTTGACAGCATGGTTGACAGTGGCCGATCATCAGAAAACCGCAAAAATGCACATAAAAATACGCAAGCCTGACAAGCCAAACCAAACAAAAATGGCGATTAATTTAATTTTCAATTGTTAATACTTAACATGTGTTGTTAAATAATATTTAAATAAGGATGTTATGAATCACCAAGAGTTCCCGAAAAGTTTGTCACTCAAAGTCCGTTAACGTAATTTCCGGTATGCAATTACAAAACACACATTGACTGTAATTGCTTTGATACAGTGATAACCATAAAACTCTGGGGTAGGAAGTCGAAATTAAAAATTTAATTTATGATTAAAAATAGTCCAATGAACCGGAGATGTTGTGCAGTGTACACAGACCCATTTCACATAATAAGTATTTGTGACAACATTAAAAACACGTCAGTAATGGAATTTTTATTCATACAACTAATAAATATGCGTTGTTGCGGAAAATGTGAGGAATGAAAGCTTGGAAATTAGACAAAATTACGATTTTTTCGGGACCGGAAATTGCGTATATATACAGGGTGTTCCAAATCAAATTAGACCGCGTCATTGAGTCTAAATTACGATTTGGGGGACAAATCAGAAAATTTAAGAAGAATGAATCATCCTGAAAAATTTAATGAGCCTAATAGAATTTTTTTCTTTCTTCAGAAAATGATGGATTTTTCGAGTATTTTGGCGTTAAAGAAAGGAGATAATCTAATACGATATGGGACGCTCTGTATGTGCCTACAGGCAGAAAACTGCAAGTCTTTAGAAAAAAAACCGTCAGTTTTCTGTCTTTTGAGGATTTTTCGCCGCTAACTCTCCCTTTAATTTTTAAATATTCTTTATTTTCATAATCAAAAGTATCAAAATATGCTCCAATTCTGATGAAATTAAGATTTACAGCTATATATTTTCTAATTTTTCTTTGGAAATAAACATACATAATTTTTTTTTATCAAAAAAAAGTTTTGCAAATAAATTAAATAAATTCTGAAAATTGACGGATTATTTTCCTTTTTCAGAGTCCCCCTTAAACATTCGATGTGACCTTGGCATTTCCCTTTTTCCTTATTATTTCTTCCCTTGACCCCCCCCCCTCCATCCTCCCCCTCTCTCTATATAATAACTAGAGATGGGCGCAATCGGATTTGTTTCATTTCGCTAGTTTTTGTAATTGCTAACAAATTTGGTTTGTTTTCTCACTGAACGATCATTTAGTAAAATCTTTTGTTCAGTAAAATCGTTCGTTCAATAAAAACTTTTGTTTAGTAAAAATATATCGTTTTTAAAAAGTTTGTACCAAAAAGTCTTCCGTTAAGTAAATTTTTTTATTTCTATATTTTGTTCCAAAAAACTTTCGTCTAGTAAAAAACGATAGTCTATTTTTCAAATTCTTTAGGAAATTTTGTTTTTTTAAGTTCGTGCAAATGATTTTAAATCGTTCGTTTTAAAGGACGATTATTTTTTATTTTTCTGAATGATCAAAATCGTTCTTCCATCGTTAGTTTTTTTCCTGAACGACACCATTGTTGATTCAGAAATGAAGTCCATCTCTAATATCTTTACTCTTATTTTTTCTTTTCATAAATAGATGCTCAGTGAGCACTCCACACTAATAATAATAAAAACAGAATCATCAGTTCTATATAATATAAATATAATATTTTATAATACCAAACCAACCAAAGTTCATCAGTTCTATATAATATAAATATAATATGTAATAATACCAAACCAATCATAGTTCATCAGTTCTATATAATATAAATATAATATGTTATAATACCAAACCAACCAAAGTTCATCAGTTCTATATAATATAAAAACCAATCATAGTTCATCAGTTCTATATAATATAAATATAATATGTTATAATACCAAACCAACCAAAGTTCATCAGTTCTATATAATATAAATAAAATATGTTATAATACCAAACCAATCATAGTTCATCAGTTCTATATAATATAAATAAAATATGTTATAATACCAAACCAACCAAAGTTCATCAGTTCTATATGATATAAATATAATATGTTATAATACCAAACCAACCAAAGTTCATCAGTTCTATATAATATAAATATAATATTTTATAATACCAAACCAATCATAGTTCATCAGTTCTATATGATATAAATATAATATGTTATAATACCAAACCAATCATAGTTCATCAGTTCTATATAATATAAATATAATATGTTATAATACCAAACCAATCATAGTTCATCAGTTCTATATAATATAAATATAATATGTTATAATACCAAACCAATCATAGTTCATCAGTTCTATATAATATATAAATATAATATGTTATAATACCAAACCAACCATAGTTCATCAGTTCTATATAATATATAAATATAATATGTTATAATACCAAACCAATCATAGTTCATCAGTTCTATATAATATATAAATTTAATATGTTATAATACCAAACCAACCATAGTTCATCAGTTCCATATGATATAAATTTAATATGTTATAATACCAAACCAATCATAGTTGAATTCTTTAAAGATGATGTTTTGTTAAAGCTAGTATTAGGTTCGTCTTGTACAATGGTTATTTAAGTATCCTTTATTTTAATCCCCCTGTATTACTAGATGTAATTAAGATTGCATAAGAGAAACAGTTCATTAAAAGTTTTAAAGAAGAAATTGAAGTTTAAAGAGTGCAAAAATTTTATTATAGATTAATTATTTTTGTTTAGAATTATTGCATCGCTTCAGCTCTCTCAGCAATCAATTCCAAGTAATTTCTCGATAAACTATTAAATATACATTTAGGTGAAATGATGTAGAAAAGAAAAAAATAAACTAAAATTGATTTCTTCCAGGGATCGGAACTTTTGATCTCAATATCCAATGTTGGCTCTTTTAATTTTGAGGATGAATGCATCATATCTCAAAAAGAATTATCGAAGAGGAATTAGATTAATCCTTCTGCATAAAATGAAGGCCAATGCTTGATACCGAGATTCAAAGCTCAAACCAAATATACATTTACATTTATGCCCTTAAATGCATTTTAAAAAACGAAAGGTTGTTGAATTATTGTCTCCCTTTTCCCTTTAAACGTGATAAAATTTGAACATAAAAACCGAACGCTTTTAGACATGGTTAGTCCCGTATATGCTTGTACAACTTTTACTTAAGCTGCTTAAAATTTGTTTCGATACTTCAATTGAACTGGATTTCTCAGTGAAACAGATGCAGTACAATCCTGGTTTGCAATCATAGATTAATTAAAATAACAAATAGGACACTAGATGTCGTCTTTTCAAGATTTGGATGAAACTCTTTAACAACAACCCTGAGGCAGAAGCCCAGAAGAGTTATACGCTAGATGTCTTCTTTTCAAGATTTGGATGAAACTCTTTAACAACAACCCTGAGGCAGAAGCCCAGAAGAGTTATACGCTTTCTCTGTCTTGTAATTCAACGCTGACTGCGCGAAACTTCTTTGGACTTCTGCCTCAGGGTTATTTTGGACGAATTTCATTGAAATCTTGAAATACGTGTGCCCTATCTGATATTTAAATTAATCTATGTTTGCAATCAACTGTGTCTATTTACGTGACATCAAACGTGACACGTTTGATTAGAAGAATGGATTCTTTGTCACGAACTCTGATTTTCTTATATCTATATCTTTGCAACCCAATATCGCAGACCTTGGAATTTTGTTAGATCAGATAATCTAAGTTTGAAATTGTAAGTTTACCAGCTTGTCTAACATATTTACTAACATATCTATATATATTTAGATATAACATATCTAAAAAGAAAAAAATCGAAAAGCTAATTTCATTCTTTAAAACTTACTTTTTATCTGTTTTAATTTATTATATAGTTGATAAATACGATATTAGGAACATTGTATAAACTCATGTCTGGGATTTCTAAAAAAGCTTATAATTTATTCAGACATTGATATGAACCAGCATATAAATCTATATAGTAAAGCTAGTCAACGCTCATATATATTTGTATATATGTATATGTGTTAGCTATAGCTGTCCAAACCGCTGAACCGAATGGGTTGAAATTTTTGAATGATAAACATAGGCTAAAAAAATGTCGATATTTTTTTTTCAAAAATCAGATTTTTTTTCAAAATTAGCTTTTTTTACAGGCAACGCCGGGAACTTCAGCTACTACTACATAATTTAGATGAATTTTGGGGCATCCATATAAATTAAAAGTTCCTGCATTATTATATTGTGTTATTTTTAGAAAAGTGCCATAAATAAAAAAGGAAAAAGATGTTCAAGACAAAACAGGAAAACCAATTCTCATAAATTTTTTTTAAAAGTAAAAAAAAATATCCTGGATTTGTCCAGAGTTTTCCGGTTATATATGCATTCATTTATTAATTAATTTAAAAAATTCAACACCGGAAACTTGATAATAAACTGTATATTACATACTTGATACTCGGCTATTATACAATTATAATATTTAATATTAAACTGAATAATATCTATCTAATCATGTATTCTAAGTTTACAGGGTAAATAATTAAAATGTTCAATGTGCTCTGCTTTACAATTAAAACATTTGTATGCAGTCGAAACTAAAAAATATTTTTTTTTCATTTTTTTTTAATGGCTTGAGTTTTGACACAAGTGTTTTTGCTCGTCAGTGATTCTAAAATCTAAAAAGTAGTTCATATACACTTTTTTAAAATTACAAACTTTGGCTAAGGTTTACACTTTTAAAAGGCCCCTGAATAAAGAGCAAACATCATGCAAATATTTTTTAACAAAAACAGATATTATTAAACGTCGAAAAACAATGTATTTATCAAGAGAAATGAAACAATGGTGCACAAAAATAGGCTCAAAATTAACTCTATGAACAATTAGACAATTTTTAATCTAATCGAAATGATATTTTTTAATGTAAAAATGTTAGAAGAATGTGTTTGGTTCAGAATATGATTGTATTCACCGTCCTGGTACTAGGACTAGGACCAGTTTTTTCCGCTCCAACCCAGGACGGAGCGGGACACCAGGACGGAGAAGGACATCAGGACCTCATGGGAGCTATGGTAAGAACGTTTCTTTTATTCAATTTTGCCGATAAATCATTTAATTCAAATGTCAATTTTGTCTTTGAAAGAAGTGCACGCACCTCTGCTTCTTTATTAAAAGTAAATTCAACCTATATGAAGCATAAAGTTTGAAAGCGTCTACCTTGTTGCACCGGCTAGTCCTGTCCATAGAGCTAGGTACAGTACAAACTGGGACCGGAAAGGTTGACCCGGCTCGGAAATTCAAATGTACTACGGCTGCCCGTGAGTGAGCCATCTTTAAAAGCTTATGGTTTGTTTAGCGTTCCTGTTCAGAGTATGCTAAAAGAATAAAAAATAAATTTTTTTATTGTGTCTTAGCCCTTTAATTCAAACAAATATATATATTTTATTGATTTAAAGATTAAGGAACTGAACAATTGCCACAAAGTCTAATTTTATAATCCGTTTATTTTTGCAACCCGATTTCGAATTCTGTATAGTTTAAATAGTTAAAAATAGAGTTTGAGGCAAGAAATAAGTTTCTTTTTAAATATTTTTTTAAGAATTACATGTTGAACCTTATTGATATTTTGGAGATGAATATCTGATTCAAGATTCTGTTTAGAAGTCATGTTTTCAAAGGATTATTCAAACTAGGATTATTTAACCCAGCAGAATTGATAGCTAGCTACGACATTGGGTTGCACAGATAAAGAGATTAGAAAAATCAGAATTTGTGGCAAAGACTCAGTTCCTTTCAGCCATAAGTCAAATCTAAAAACGAAATTTCCTTGTTTTGCATTGTTTTGCATGGTGTGTTTTTTGCAAACCCTACCACCAACATTATTAACAATAAATCTGCTGAAAGAGATTGTTCATGCAATTTAAAATAACGATCTGCACTGAACATGCCTTAAATTATTCACAAGAGTGCTCTGTTAAAACGTTATTAAAGAAAAAGATGACTCAACAGTCGACAACATGGCATTTTCTTGTTTTTTAGGCGCGCCCTGTCAGGTTTTTAGGTAAATTAGTTCAAATTTGTAAATGTGTTTTTTTGTCACTATAGATAAAAAATTGAATAACAGTCCTTTTAAACAAATAATATTAATTTTTTTCAAAATAGCCAATTTATTTAGCGTTGAATGGATAAAAATATCGAAGTAAAACTATTGCCTAGACCTATCATGTTCCCACTATCCCACATTAGCATGCCGCCTTGTGGACACAAATACGTATTGTTCATGTGAATATATTATTTAACAATTATACTATTATTATTATTAATTATCCCCTTTACCATGTATCTCTATATGTAAATATTTCTAACGTATAACAATTTGTCGGCTTCGGGAAGCTTTAAAATGTAAATGTTCTCATAGGGATAGGTGCATTTTATGTAAGGTTCTATGCCTCCTTTCTTACAAAATGTCATTCAGTGGTAGGCGATTATATCAATACAATGAAGACGACTTTCGATTTCAATTTTGATTTTTATTAAGCTGTTAAACAGGATGGATACATGTAAACATAGAAGTAAAGAGCAGCTGTAAAGTTGTATAATTGTAAAGTTTTATTTCGAAAAAAGCTTGTTAACTATAAAAACAACATTGTATTGTTATAATCGCCTACCACTGTATAATATTCCATCAAAACCTCTAACACTATAAATACAAGGGGAGGGGGCGATGTAAAAAGTTATGTAAGTATTTTTTGTTAGTTAATACAGTTTTTTATTGGAGTATTTCTTTTAATTGGTAATGTAAAACTTTTAGATATCACATTTACGGATGTTAGATAAAATAAGATCAACTATTTTTATTTCGTAATGTATTATGGTTTCATACTCATACATACTGGTAAATCAGCAAGCTTGGTATTACACTGTTTTTACGATTTGTTCAACATTTTACAATTTTACTTTACGCGCGGCGTGAAGATTTTTATTATAGGAGAGACTTAGCTTGTGTTATTAATTATTACTTATTAAGTACCCTACAGTGCATGTGGTCGGTGGAGGGTCACTTGAAATTAAGCTTACAGTCCCTTTAATTGATGTAAGATCTTAAATCTTACAAAATCTTATGGAGTAGTATCCTGACCAGTTTTTTCAGAACACAATGTTGATTTATACCTACACATAAAGAGTTTGAACGGAAACCTTTTTTCTTCAAAAACTATAAAGTTTTTTTTATAACGAAAAGATTTTTAAGTTTAGATTTAAATAGAAAATGAAATTTTTGTATAACCTGCACCAAGAAGTGACATACAACTTTTTATTAAGATATAAATCTTATATTGGTTTGTTATGGTTTAAATTTCTCAGGTTTGTCGTTGATCAATCAATCAACTATTGAATGCATTAAACAATTAGTAATGTGAACATAAACATAATTAAATCCAGGTTTACCGGGAGATTATGTTTAAACTATAATTATCCTGTTATATTTACATCAGCTGTACAACAGTTTTTAACGGAATTAGAGGGGAGGGGGGATGCGGAAGGGAGGGGGGTTTAGGGTGGGATGAAGAAGAGAGACCAGATATGAGGTATCGAGGGAAGAACGAAATAATGGATATATAAAGATATATGGAAAATATGAAGGATAAGGGGAAAAAATAAGGTATCGGAGACCGAATAAAGGATGAGAAAGGGATTGCATATTGGATAATCATTGATAATATTGGGGATGGGGAGGGGGCTAAGGATGAGGGATTGGTAAGGGAGATAGTTTTTATCTCATTGGGGGAAGGGCAGAGGAATGAGCTGAAGGATAAGATATAAGAAAAAAGATTATATGGGGGGGGGGGTTAGGGGTGGACGAGGGATTGAAGGAGGATAAGGAATCGGGGCATAACTATGTGAGAGAAATTGGGATTAAGGAAGGGGACGCGGGGTTGGAGAAATTTTGTGGAATTTAGGGAAAAAATTTTATTCCGGTCAGAGGTCATCAGATGGATGTTGGAGAAGGATAGATAGGGAGATTGGATAAATGAAGGGGGGGAGGGGGGTGATGTCTGTGGAAAGAGGGCGGGGTAGATAAAAATGACATCAGACATGACATCTTTAGATCGTGCTTAAACAAATCCCAACCCTACTCTCTAGTCTCAGAATTACAGCATTTTCATCTCAATATACAACTTTGGCATTATCAGGAGTTCGTCCTATAATGTTACATAGGAAATGAGTTTTAGCAACCAACTCAATTGTTCAAAACCCTATATTTCCTCAAATGTGATGAAATATGTTTTTAATAAGTTCATATTAACATGATTAAATTTATATTTGTTTAAATGCTCTAAAAGCCGGCTTGTGAACAGCTGACTCTAGTTCAATCGATATAGCATCGTATCCGTAATTGGTATCAAACGTAAGTTTTATACAGTAGGGGTATCCGAAAATGAGGATTATAAGAAGAAAATCAAAAGTGTGTACATGAGATACTCGAACTAAGCGGTCGGGATAAGGAATATCCCACCCTAACGTAACGTTGTCAGCTAAACGATATAGTGATATTTATGGTCCAGACTGAGAAAAGAATTCGGGAAGGATTTAAAGCATTATAATCTTTAGGTACGCTAACTAACTATATCTACGTATTCTATATTTGTATAATTATATGCACATTGCATTTTAAAGTCTAAAATTTGTTTTGAAACATATTGTGGTTTAAAAATGCAAGAATACGTTAAACCTTCTGCGTACCACTCTAATTACAACTATGGACGAATGTAAATAAAGGAATAAACTTAAAACACCTGGTTTTAGATTAAAAAAATGCGCAAAATTGTTGACGCAAAAATTCAGCAGAATACTCCGTATAATTTGATATCAGAAATTATGAATTTACAGTACTGAAAGATATCATTATTATTAATATTGTCGCTGCAAAAAAGTAATAAAGATTAATAAGATTAATGGGGCTACTCATTAAGCCAGTTCCTCTCTGTCTATTTCCTTGGCACCTGGAATAGACACTATCCTGAAACCTACAAGTTCTTTAATGTTCTAATTTATTTTTATGAAAAGGTCATCTGTACACTTAAGAAACAATGGCGGCCGAGTGTTAAATATTTCCGTACCCCAGGGGAGTATTGTGCGTTATTTGTATAGATGTAAATTAACCTGCATGATATTGATAAATCATGTCTTCTTAAAGGGACTGTACATGAAGTTAAAAGTGAACTTCCATGTACATTGTACATTGTACATATATGATGATGTGTCTACTTCATAAAGCTTTGTCTGAACAAGATAAAATATGAGCTATCAAAATGAGATCTTATCAATTGCGCGGTTGTTGCGCATTTATGCTGCAGACACGTTGTAAGAAATTGTAAGAAAGGAGCTGAGTTCTTGACACAAACTCTGTCTTTTTATCCCTATATCTGTTTAATCAGAATTCATTTAAGAAAGCCCCTGGAAAAAAGTTTCCAGAAAAAAAACCTGGAAATAAAAACTTTGGAAAAAAGTTCGAATTTTCCCAAGTCCTTGGAAATAATGTCCTGTGCTTTGGATTTCTAGGACTTTGTAGTGCGAAATATTATGAATTTTTTTTCCAAGAACTTTTTTAGTGATTACATTTTAGTCCCATGTCGTAACCCTTAGATATTTCAAACTATAAATCCTACAGATTTTATCAAAATTTCGAATTTTAAACTTCAATAGCTGCTTTTTAAACCTAACCAACACGCAAGTAATTTTTGTAGCCATGGATATCGGAATTTTATCACTGCACATCGCTTTTTTATAGGTTTTAATTTTCAGCCGTATTTGAAAAAAATCCTGAAAAATGTCATGGAAAATAAACAAATCTAAAAAATGCAACTTTTAAACTTTTGTTGATTGTTATATTTTCAGAGTAATTAAATTGAATCCTAAGACTGAACAAAGTTTGTACTCAAGATGACCTTATTAGGCTGTGCATTTTTTGACATTTAGAAACATTTTGCGAAGAAATTGAATTTTAATTGAATAGAGAGACAGGCTTGGAGAACCTTCTAATAAAAGTAAAAAGGAAAGAAATGATCTTTGC